GGACCTAATATTGAATCTTATTTCTCTGAAGTTTATTTTATTAATTTTTTTTATTACATTAATTAAAATTATACCCTAATCAATTTTATATATTTATGTATATTAGTTTGACCTTCGAAATGCCTGGGACTATCTTGAAAAATATAAATGGTATCAAAATTAATTGCAAAGTTAAATGAAATTGATAATGACAAAAGTAATAAAAACCAAAGCGACGATAATCAGAAAAACAAATCAATTGAATTGAAGCTGTTACTACGAGGTAGTCGTAATGGATATAAGAATACCGACTTTCATCATTTGTGTGATAATAAAGGTCCAATAGTGGTACCATTCGCGTAAAAGATCATTGGTGGTTCTAATCCATCTGAATGGAATTCACTTAACAAACGGTACTCCGATTTAAATAGCTTTTTGTTTAAATTTAATTCTAATGACATTCAAGCTACCAATGGAGCTCTAAGCAAATATAAACAAGGATGGAGTGTGGTATGCTATGCAGATTATGGTCCAACTTTTGGAGGTGCCATGACCTAGTTCTGCGAACTAAAGTATTTTGACATTGTGGATTAAGAAGTCTTTCAAGTGGTGCCGAAATATATTTTTATAATGATAAATTTCATTTGAAAAATATTTCTTCAGATTCTTTATACATTGTATTATATTTTTGTTATGCCAAAAAATAGAACAATTCAGTTTAGAAGATGCAATAAAAGCATTATAACATTCAATTAATTTAACCCGTGCAATTATGCAAATTATTGTATAATATAAATTCCTAACATTCGAAGCCATTTGTCTAGCAACATCGTCATGATTAGAAAAAACTCTAATTTCAGAAAATCAAATTTGGATAAGATAATTAAAAACGATGTATTTGGTAAAGTTTAAAGCCAGACTGTAAAATGACCTTTGACAATGGATTGAAAATATAACTGGTTTAAGATCAGTTATTTAACACTTTAAGGAAGCAAATATATTTGAGAATGAAATTCAATCTATATGCTATGCTTGTCATAAAAATTATTTACGTACGTACGTACGTACATATATGCAAATTTCCCCACAATGAACCAATTGAAATAAGAGCATCGATTATGTTTACAGCAATAACTTATTGCAGATTAGCAAAAGATTGGGTGAATCTCAGAATTTCTTGAATTTGGGAGAGAACTAAAGATGGTTGTCTAAATTGTTTTTGAAAAAAAATGGTATTTCAGCAAACAATTCAGTTTTGCTATATTGCTTACATTAATGAATACTTAAAAACCACCTAGAAATAATATCTTTATTTTCGTTAGACCATTCATCTTTGTAAATTTGATAGTGATTCTTTACATACATGTGAGATGTATCGTTATGTGTACTTGGTATGAAGGACAACAATGATACGTAACTGTTAAAAAATTTAAAGGCTTTATCATTTCTATCGATCCTATTTAGCTAAGAACAAACAATAAACTGAATACTTTACATTTTTACTGTTACGGCTCTTTAAAGTTTAGAGAGTCTGGAAAACAAAAATTAAAAGAACTTGATGACAGATAATTACAAAAAAAATGTAACAAAAAGCAATATATTTATTGAAATGCTGTTTCAATTCCAAATAATATATAAGTGTTTGAACTCTTCTAGTATTCGTTTATATATTTCAAAGAAAGGTAAAATTGCTTGTTTTTAATTCATCATCATTATTATTTTTTCTTGATGAAATCAAGTACCATCATACAGATCAGGTGACATTACACTCACTATATTATAAAAAACAGCAAGTCATTTTATTATGAACATTACAATTGTTAGTTATGTGAATTTCAAACACATCTCCATCAGTGTCCATTATTAAATTGTTCAGTGAGTTTGTACTGTTTAGTTTCAATATTATACAGGAATCAAATGACAAAATAATTAGTAATAGTCAATACAATAAAATATTAGTCTTATGGAGCATATATATATATATATATTGTTACTGCCGGTAAACAAACTTCCTCGATTACGGTTCTTCGATCAGCATTTGTGTAGTGTCGCTGATTCCCAAAGCTGGTAGAATTTACAGCAACTACTACGGCGAATTCCCATCACGATCGTCCACAATAATGCAAGTTTTCCAATTCGATAAGCTCTTCAGTAGCTAATTTCCACCACATTATCAACAAATACTGCTGTAGAATATTCAGCAAAACAGCAGCAGATTCACTCACGAATGTCAACAAATGACGACATGCTAATAAAAACAACAAACTCTTTTTAATATATATGATACGGAACTACGCCATTCCCTGCGTCTTTTCTTCAGCATTTCTGTATCATTTTCAGCATCTCCTCATCATTCAGCATTTCTGCATCATTTTCAGCATCTCCTCATCGTTTTCAGCATCTTCTCATTGTTTTTCAGCGTCTCCTCATCATTCAGCATTTCAGCATCATTTCAGCATCTCCTCATTGTTTTCAGCATCTCCTCATCATTTTCAGCGTCTCTCTGTCATTCTTTAGCATGATTCCATTAGTTTTTGATTCATTTTGTAACAGTTACTTCTATAGAGTGTCCGTTATGAACTCTTTTTATTTTATTAATAGTAAAAAAAGTAATGCCTTCTTTTTCTTTAAAGTACATAAAATAAATACACAAAAAAATGTATAAAAAGAATGGCCCACGGGCTACTAATGAAAACAGAATTCATATTGCGAACAATTGTTCTCAAGTAAACCACTTGTAAAAAGAGAATAAAATTGTGTACAATTGTTCTCCAAGCAAAATTAAACTTGAATTATTGCGTACAATTATTCTCCTACTAAGTAAATTATCGCTTGTAAAATTCTCTCTCCCCTCTTCCTACATTAATCGTTATATCGATTGTCGGTTAGGTCCTTTGTACCAGAAAAGGCATTGTTTTGTGTAGAATCGCATTGTTAATGAAAAAACCGGTCATTATTTTTAAGAGTTTAAGGCTTTTGTCTAGAAAAAGCAACAATAAGGAAATCCCTAACACTCACCCGAAACACATAATCTTCTCTTCCCCCCAATCAACATAATCAACGATATCCGTAGATATCGGCACAGGCTCCAGATATTGAACAAACATCAATCAATTTAATAATCTCTCCCAAAGACTTGTTGCGTTAGAAATCCCTCAAATCACCCAAACCTAACGAAAGCGCAACAATATATATACACGTATGTGATTTGCAAATGTCAATCATATTTTTGAGAGCAGAAAAAAGTGTGACTTTAAATTCGTTAGGCTTTGATAATTCGCAACTGGTTTTCATTATCTAATAGTACATGTATTTAATATGTATTTTGTCAATTACGAATTAGGATTTCTGAAAATAAAAAATTTTTGTCATCATCTTTGATTTCTAATTTACCGCGTCGAATTTTTGCCGAATTTGAGCGATGTTACTGTTGATTTTATAATCGTTGGTGTCATTCACGATGGTTTATGATGTAATTTTTGATTTGAAAATTATGTCTAGATATCTGATATCTGGTAATACATGTATGTGGTGGAAATGACAAAAAAGTGAGTCATACGATAAAATCAGTACAAGTTCTTAAAGAAGTAACGTATCAATGTATACTTTACAATGTCGATCCCCACATTGAATTTAATTAGTATTAAGTACTTTTAATTTAAAATAATATTTTCAGGAAAAGATGTCTAATAGGTATATCTACACACGGGTAAAATTTTATAAAAAAACTTGGGGCATTACGATAATAATTTATTAATTATCGTTATATACATGTATATCGATAGATATTCACTGATCACGAATGTGAAATTGATGCATTGAATTGAATCATACCCTAGATATATACAATTTAATTTACTATATAGATACTTTTCCATGATACATACCCGGGTATGTATTTAGAGGATATAGTATGACTTATGCGGTAAATACGGTAGTTAATAAAAAGATTATATTGGAGAATTTCTAAATCTTGATTTTTTTTAATGAAACCAATTATCTTCTGCAAACTGAATAAAACAAGATTCACTGTGAATTTCTTCAAAAACTTTTGTACTGAATTAATAGCTTTAAGATTAAACTAAGTTTTAAATTACCTTCAAAGGAAGGATAGTTTCTGTAGCGGTATATTAGAGGGGAAAAAAGTGTTGTCACTTTAATCAGTGCATTACAAGTACATGTAATTTATTTTTTGCATTAGTTTATTAATAACCTACATGTATATTTGCACTAATAATAGATGTTATTTTTGGAAACGACAATCAAATTAAAAAACTTAAAAACAAACTTTAAAGAAATCTTAACTGAACAAAGAAAACACAGATTTTCCGCGTGGTCTATATCAATATGCTTTCAAAAAAAAATGGTTGTGAAACTTGATTATTTTTTTAGAACAATAAACTATATGTTCAGTATTGTTTGGTAAAAATCATAAAGGTCTTATGAAACAAAGAAAAATTATAATGCCACATTTCGCCACGTAATTTATTTGTTTTTCAAAGAATATTGCACAATCATTGAAAATATCGATTTAATATATCGATATAGCCAATATGCGATTGAATTGTAACGTGTGCTTAATACTGTACATGGTTATATTTGTAAACATTGTTATCATCATAGTTTTTATTGTAAACATTGTTACCATACGTACATATGTACGTATTAACATTTCCAAATTGATACCATATCAATATTTTGCCAACAAACATTACACAAACAGTACGATCGTGTGTTTTTAATTACAGCATTTATCTCAATGAATGTCTAGCTTTAGATTATTAAAAAAGAAAAAGGCTTTTTATGACAAATAAAAAACACACAATCCTATTAGAACAAATAAAGATAATATTAATATCAAAACTAGAGAACAAGAACAAAAGATTGAAAGAACAGAACGATGTAACGAATCAACGAAAGAATGAAGAACGAACGAGCTAATAAATAGATTGTCTAATAAATATTCGTAAAGGCATACACTAAACAAATTAAGTAAAAATTATTAAGAGAAGTTCAAATTATCAAAAATGACATGAATTATATTTTGTCATGAATAGTTGTGAGGATGATTGTGATTGCGATAAGGGTGAAGATATCAGTGGTGTTATTGAAGAAATATTAAGTGAATCATTATTATTATCACCATTATTGGTACTTTCAGCGAAGAAAATAGGAGATTGATTATCGTTATAGTTCAATTTATCATTATTGAACACGTTGTCGATCACATTTTGAGCTAAATCATTAGTATAATCTTGCTGATTATATATCGATATGGCTGTCGTAGAGTTATCAGTATAGTCTTGTTGACTATAAATGGTTGTTGTACAGTCATTACTATAATCTTGATTATAGTTAAATGTCGTAAAGTTATTAGTATGATCTTGATTATTATAAATGGCTGTCGAAATTGCTAGGGTCAAAGGTGGTGGCCCGTCGATTTGCATTAGTTCAGGTGAATTGGAAGTTAAATATGGCGGCCCGTCAATTTGTGTTGGTTCTTGAAGAGAATTTGGAGTTAAATATGGCAGCTTATCGATTTGTACGGGCTCTTGAGGTTTATTGAAAGCTATTACACTAGACTTAGCTGGCGGAATAGATACATATCTTTTTTGTTCTCGAAAAATAAATTCTTTACGGCTTGAGTTTTTCGATTTTGGTTTATATTTATAATTAGGATATATTAGCTTATGATTCTCATAAGCTAATTTTTCCAATATTTTGAAGAAATGCTTGACTTCGCTTGATAGCTTTTTCCATTTTGAACTGCATTCCTTTGCTGTATGTTTAACTCTTTGCTTAACAGGACTACATAGACGTATATTAGCCTCATAATTTTTTCGAAATATAATCCACCTATTTTGTGGTCGTGGTATTTTATCATAATTATTTGTATTTTTCTTAGCAGGATTTGTTAATTCTTCAATTGTGAGGGTTAGATCATAAGGAGGTTTATTATATATAAGGTCACGTTCAGTTTCCGTTAAATATTTGTTATTCATGTCTATTTTTTTTAAAAAAACAAGGTCGTTTGTGATTATAGCAGATTTATACAAAAATTGCATAATCACCTTAAATATGCTATTTTCTCATTCCCGTCATATATAGAACTTATTCCTCTTTCGCTAGATGCAAGACAATAATCTCGATATAGATCATAGTTGATATTTTGCATATCTTGCAGATTGGAATAATAACATTTCAATCTTACGCCTAGATAGAACCAATCAAAAGTGAATGTAGTGTGTTTTGCAAAGAAAAACAGACCTTTGTTTTCTTTGTCAACGTTATATTAACGCCATAAAGCTACATGGGGTTATGGGGGTGTTAATAAACAACTGATTAATGATAATCTGATTAATTGAATATTTGTTTATTTACATTATTGGATGACATAATAGCAAAAATGAAAATGCTGAACGCAATATCAATCGATATCGATATCTTCTTTATCGAATTGCAAGTTTATTCATTGCCCAAATCCCAAACTCGAATCCCAAATTTATAATTACATGTACATGTATATCTAATGCAATTCAGTCATTTAGTCGCACGGTTTACATGTACATGTACATGTAAATGAAAGCATAGAACTAAATTGTTAAACATTGAATTGTAGATCATTAGTATGCGAGTTAGTCAAATGCGAGTACATGTATATGAAACATTGAATTGTAGATCATGTATTTAATACGTAAGATACGTATGGTGCAGGAACTCTTAAATCAACAATATGTTTCATGGTAAAATTCCATCAACCTCTTGACTAAGTAAATACAGAATTTGACTGGTAATATTATCAAGTAGGTCCTTTTCTATAATATTACTGGTTAAATTTTGTATTTACTTCTTAATTAAATTTTTAACATCAATTTAAGAGTTTCTACATCATATCGATATTTAATTTATTTACTTTGCAAATAATATGCTTAAATATCCCAAATATATAGTTTTTCTTTTGATATTAAAGTTTATTTGTCTAGAGCATTAAAGTATAATTTATACAGAATTATGAGTTGATTGATCTTTAACCCATTGAGGAATGAATACAATCATAGTCATGATTTTGCTGAATTACAGAATCGCTGATTCTTAATTTTATAAAAAAGGAATTAAGTAATAAGATTATACAGTATATAAATTATATTTAAAAGTAATCAAATGGTTAAATATCTATCAAATGAAGATTTTTTTGTCGCATTAAATACAGAACTCTTGGATCTCATCCAACTTACAATCGAATACTTTGCTCGCTTTAAGGATTATACATGCATCTGCATAGGGGTTCGTCAAATTTATAACCGAATATTTTGTGATATATTTAAAAGCTCTTCGATATCCTACAAGCAGCAGCAAATAATAAAAATTAAATCTTGAATATTTTTTTACAGCTGTATCAAAAATTTAAAAATACCATATTTGAAAAATCGAACTTTTCTTTTTCAAAACTGTTTGTGATCACTTTGACTCTACTCAATTTGTCGACAGTTAAATATAAGTCGTTCAATCTCGCTTCCAAACTATCGATATACTGCCAATTCTGATTACAAGATTTACAATTTGTCGATGTTTTTAGATTGTTACAAGTACGACGTATCGGAGGATATGATGCACCTCGAACTTGAAAGGTGAATCTTTTTCCTGTAGTATCTATTTCGTTGGTGTTGCGTATCCGAAGGTTGCTTTTGATACGGATATCATTGTTGTTGTTTTTAATGTTATTTGATGATGCTTGAGTTTTTTGTTTTAATGCCATTACATAAATCTTTTATTGAGGATTAAGTATGAAATTCAGATAAAAAGAAATTACGAATTGAGCGTGCGTTTTAACATTCCATCTAACATAGAGGCGTGTCTTTTATAAATATTAATTATGCAGAAAGATAAACTTGTTTTAATTTATATTGTTTATAGTAATGTCGTAATTATTCAAAATAATTACTTCAAGCAATCATACTATTTTGCAATAAAGAGTATTCATATATTCGTAAGGAAATATTAATAATCGAAAAAGCACTAATAGATTCTAAATTACTGCTTCCGACGTAGAAATTTTAATTTCAAGAAACATCTATTAATAGATTTCAGTTTTTATTAGTGCAAAGACATTATCATTCAGTCACCGCATTGATTTCAATTTTTATTAGTTCAAAGAAATTATCATTCAGTCACCACATTGAGTCAATGTATGCGGGTTATTTGCCTAAATTTGATTGTGAACGCATGTAAATTTGTTTATCAGAACTTGATAAAATGCAAGAATGACTCACAAAAAGTTCTTTGTTATTGATTTTACTTTACAAGTCAATTAAAGGTCGATTTAAATTTCTAATTCATTGTCAAACAGTTGAAACGTAAGCAAATTTCTTCTGTTTTAGGCACGACAATAAAAGCAGATGACAGTGCTTCTATGCGAAACAGTTCGCATTTTAAGACAAGCTTTCTTTGTATGTGCACATGTTAGGGTTGATTTCCAAATTTAGATCATTATGGATATAATGATCGACATCTTTAATACAAGTACGTGCATGTACATGTTCATGTATCTTATTTTCAAATACATGTAGGATATACATGTACATGTACGTAAATTGTTACCATTACTATATGTACAGTGCACGACACCTAGTCTCCGCAGTTTTATATTGTTACTCTAAAGCCTATAACTTTTGTGGAATTAAATTTCTAAACAAAAACTAAAACATTTAATTTCAGACTACACTATCGTCTACAATTCAATGCTTAGTTTTTGTTTAGAAATTTAATTCTACAAAAGTTATAGGCTTTAGAGTAACAATATAAAACTGCGGGACTAGGTGTCGTGCACTTATAACGATATCGATAATAATTTATTACCGAGTACATGTATTATTGAGTTTGAAAAATTTAACTAGCTACATGTAATATATTTTGTCGATTAACCAATTAAACAGCTCTAGTTAAAGTAATTAATAATATCGATATAAAATTATATACATTATTACATTTGTGGTTCAATATGTGAAAAGACAATATCCTTCTGGAATTTCACAATAAACTAAATTTTGCACTCAATGCTTCGGTCATACTGCATAACATTATTATACATGTACATTGCAACACATAATTGTAAACAAGAGCATAATCTTCCGGATTCAATTTTTATTTACGTATTATAATACATGTATTTGCTGATACAATATTTGGACTAAATTGAAAAATTTTACTTTCAAAATATAATATGCATCGATATTTAAATATATTATTTGCAATTGTTTTCTCTTTAGGTAGTTATTCGAATAGTAGGATCCATGTTATTTATACAAATGTTAAATGGGACTTGCATAACTGGTTTGTATTAATTTTATGGTATGTTATTCGCGTTTGTTCTATTAATTTCTTATTTTTTTCTGTTAAATCATCTAAATCTTCATTTGAAAGCAATAGTGTTTAATAGAATAATTAACTACAAATCAAAATAATATACATTTACCGAATATAGTACTACCCTTGGGTAATATCCTTCCATGTTACATAAAAATTTTGTAAACTATCCAGTCCAGTTTAATTTTAGTATTATATAAATTCATTTATTTTAAATCCATTCATAATTAACGTTTTCATCAACAAAATCCCGATTACATTTATAATAAAGGAGAATTCTATTTATGATAAATCACCAGATTATTAGACTTACAGGTACCCTCCATAGGTTATTTTGACTAATGATATAGATCATCTGAAATTTTAAATGACCATACCATCACAGTAAAACGTGATATATCACATTAGTATTATCTCAGATATTATTACTAATAATTGCTTTTGGTATTAGTAAATTGTAGTACAATATTGCATGTTCAAGAGGGGAAGGCGAATTGTTTTAGTGTTAAAAGATATTTGTTTTATTATGTTATTTATTCTCAAGTTTTGACATGTTGAGTTAGAGCTCAACTACAATTCATATTTATACATTTTCTACAAAATACAAATATAATATTAAAAACAAGAAAAAGATATAAAAGATAATTATATTAACTAAAAGTAGAATTCCAATTTACTAAATATGGAAAGTAGAGAAATAAAGGAGAAAAAGTATAAATCTCAAAGAATTTTGATTAGTTAGATTATATCTACTTGGAATAAATAAGTATAAAAAGTATAAAAAGTATAAGAGTACAAGGTAGAAAAATAAAAATATATGAATATAATAATTAATAATATATGAGAAAATTGTGAAATATTTAAGTTCTTTGCATGATTTTCTTAATTTCATAAAATATTACAAATTATGAAATTAACAATTTTTATAATATAATTATAACAATATGTAGTTAGTTTGGCAAGCTACTTCACATTAATTCTGGTTCAATTCTTGAATTAGACCTTGTTCTATAATTTGATTTGTGTCAACCACATCAATTTCGTCATCCTGCTCCAATTCTGATACTTCAGAGGTATTTGTATATACATAGTCTGATTGTGACAAATTTGTCACAGTTTCCTCAAGACTTTCCAAATTTTATGAAATCACATGATTCTGGTCAGTCAAATCACGTTGAAGCTTCTTTTCCTTATTGAGTTGCCTTATTTTATCACTAATGCTTTTCTTATGTGCCTCATTCAAGAATTTATCCATCTCTTTCTCCTTCGGTGACTTGGAGTTGACCTCTGGTAACACTTCTGATACCATATCATTTGCTTTACAAACAGGCGCATGTTGCTTGAGCTGGTCTACTATGGAATCATCATCAGCAGATACCTCTGGTAATATCTCTAGTATCACTTCCTTAGATGCATTAGAATCCTCACTCCGTGAGTCATTCTGTAGTTGTCCATCCACTGCCACAGAACTCTGTTCCACTACTGCAAGCCTAGCCTCAAGCTCTTTATTCTTTTGCTCTAATTCATCGACTCTAACATCATGCTTTACATTCTTCTTAATAATCTGCTTCAGCTTCAAATTTTCAGATTTAATATCAGCAAATTTCTTTTCAAGTTCGGGAATCTTGGCATTCTCCTTTCTAAGCTCAGCAATCGTGGCAATGAGTTGAGAATTTAATTGCAACGAATTAATTTTGAATCGAATTCAAGCTCTGATGACATTTTTCTTGATAAATTTTATATAAGGCGCAGATTTGTTTAAATTATCAAGAAAGCTAACCTATCTACTGCCAGAAGGCGGGGCAAGCAACTCGCGTATATTAGAGAATGTTTAGAGGTATTCACATCTCAATCTATAAACCTCTCCGCATTAGCCTTTTTAAGAGTGCCACATGTATCACAAGATTCTGAATCATTCTTATACACTACTCTACTCATTTGATAAATGGCTGATCCGACACATTAATGTGTCATTATTGCATAGACCGATCACCTAAAATGGCATTATTGTGTAACCATCTCTCTTATCTCCTGATTTGATGGCCGGGACCCGGAACAACCAAAAGTAGGTCGTCGTGCACCAAATAAAGTGTGCTAGCTTGTTTCGAACATTTCACTTACCATTTATTTAAAGCCTGTACACTTGGTTGGACACCTTGCAAAAACCATGACAGAGAGAACTAATAACAGAATTTGTAGTACCTTTCAGGTCTGTTTTTGCACAGAAAAAATCCTCCAACGTATTGATCGTATTAAACAAAGTCTATTTTATATAGAACCCAGGGAATAGTTATCCCGGACACGGGCAAGTTGGTGTCTCTACCTCGTTTTCGCCCGATCTCCATAAACACATATTGGGATGTCATAGCCCCACTATGGGGATACCATATCAAAAAAAGGAAAATGGCACGGACTTATCTGGCCGAGATGCTCTAACTCTTGGGGGAGAAGATGAAGATAATGGAACCGGATCCAGATCCATTCCCAAGGACAATAAACCTCACGCTTTCAACTCTGAAGAGAAAGAAAAAATGCTGAAGAAAAAGTCGAAGACGAAAAGAAACGAGAAAAAAAATATGCAAAAGGAAGATAAACCACTACATGTTTGGGGCGTCCGTCCGCAGTCCAACAGCGCTACAAAGCAGGATGTTAACCAAAAGCAACAAGGAGTTATTAGAATCGAGAGCCCAAACGATACCGATGTTGAAATGGTGTCGCGAAAAAGTTGTCCTAACAAAGGAACAATCGGCACGATGTCGCATCCTTGAGGCAACTGCTCCGAGTCGGTACCTTGGCATGCACTAACTGGACAACGGAGGAGCCGACGACACGATGTTGTTTTGTACAGCCGAGCAATATCATTACCGAAGATGGAGTCCAAGTTCCCGTGCATAAAGTGTCAGAAGATAGCAGAGAGGATGAACCTCATAGGCGTTGCAAGAATTCGCTCATGGTAGTGGAAAAGATCAAAAATAAATCCGATGCCTGTCGTGTTGCAAAATCTGTTTGGTATACGCTCATAAACGAAGAATCAGGTGTTGATGATGGATATTTGAAGTCTATTAAAAAGTTTGGCTTCGATCACATCATCATCATCGGAGAACATGAAAATGGTTTGCTTTTTCTTGACTGTTATGGTCGAGTATTTATTGGGATGCTATGGTTGCTCTGTTACGACCACTTGGGAAGAATTTGGATGAATGTGACCTTACCCGGCTGGTATGGCACGTCGAGCCCGATACAACTATTACTGAATTTTATTATTTTGAATAGTTATCTTCGATGATTGGGAAGTTGGCAATGAGGACTGCGAAGCATTGTTAACACTTGCTTGTTTTCTCAATAACCTATTTCAACCTTCAATAAATCAAGCTATAATGTTATACTTATAAATTCTCGTTCATTATCAACCCATAGCCTAATAAATTCTATGGTTTTATCCGCGAGATTACGGGTTAAACGTTTGTGAAATTTCCGGATAGTCGCATCTCCAAGACGCTGGCCCAGCTCCCTTATTTCTTCTGAAATTTTGGAATACATTGATGATTCGGTTCGTTTCTCTAGTCGACGTTTGTCTTTGAATAGGCGATCGAAATCTTGCCATAGAGTTTGAATATCGCCGGTATAATCTTGAGGTGTTCTATTAGACCCGGACCGTCGAGAGCCAGAATTACTGTCGCGACTGCCAACACCATTTTTGATGTCGCGAACTTCGTAGCACATTAGGCTTATATTGCGGTCGAGATCGTTGATTTTTTGTAGCAATTCTGTATTAGCGCTTGAGTTTCGCCGTGATTTTTTGATAGCAGATAATTCCGCAGTTATACGGTTTTCCACTCTTCGAGTATTTAGGTATAATACTAGCGATTGGACTAGCATGAACACGACGAGCACGAAGAAATATGAATTGATTGAGAACATTTTTGCGTATTTCCACAGTTTGATGTAATATAATTTTTGCGATTTCGCACTAACGAGTTATTAAATTTACGTGCGATTTGCGTTGTATTGTAAATTGTTCTAAGGACGAACCTGCGGATATCGTTTACGAAATTGACGTGTTTTATAGAGTTCACGGTGGCACTTGAGCTACGAATGAGGATGAATTGATATCTCGCTCATTTCTTTGTGTATAACTCCTAGAAAGCCAATTCGTCGCTTCATTATGAATTCGCACGCAAAGCAACATTTTAGTTAAGCAAATCTATTGCAATTAATGAATTAGCATCTGGATAATAAACATAAAATGAAACATGACTGGATCAGCATTATTTCCGGATCAGCGTTTAAATTTTCATTATGTATTACTTGTGTTACATAGCCTGATCGCAATAAAAAAATCACGTGTGGTACAAGCATATTTTATTTATGAAAAGTTCAAATAATAAAAGAAGAGTCAAAGGCTCGGTACTTCGGCCATCGGGTCACATTCTGTAAACATTCTCATCCACTATTATTCCTACGTTGACGCTTCTGTTTACCCTTTGTTTCTATTTGTTGGTCGAAAACCCACTTGATTTGGCCAAAAATCTCTTCGAGTGGCTCCGCAAGCTGATCGTGATCCAATGACAGATGATTAATTGGTAATGTGGTGAATTTATATTTGATATGTAATTATAATTGTTAATACAGCTCACTCAGAAAGGGATAATCTTGCTTCACAGGCTATTTTTCGATAATAATAAATATTAGTGATATCATCTGATGCTATTTCAATGCTATGCTTACAAACTTCTTTTAAAATTTGTGTCCTATCATAATGATTCAATGTAGTAATATGAATATATATCTTTTTCTCAGTATGATAATCACGAATTGGATATGCATAGACAATCTTCATTCCAAACTTGAATTTGTCAATTTTTCCATTACTAATATAATTTTCACTAATCTTAATTTGAATGTAGAGAAAGATTCATTATCAGACATAGTGACATCAAAGAAAGATTTAATACCTGTAATGTCCACCCTAGCTTTTTGCTCATTAATCAAAGTGTTATAAATATATAAAATATATGTTAATATATTTTTTACATATTCAGTAACATTACTCACATCATTAGGCATGAAGTATATAAGCTATTTATCAGATAAAATTTGTTAAAGTATGACTGTTAATCCATTATTATATTCTGAAATAATATTATTACAACTTGGAATTCTAGTTAAAGTTTTTCTGTTTCTGTACCTGATGTTTTGTACATTGTGTACCAATATTTTTAGGTATATATCAGTTTTTATTTGTTCAATATAATCTGAAAAAGTTTAAATTATTTTTTTCAGTCAGTACACAGTGATATCAAAAAAATGCATTGATTTTTAGTTGAATAAATATAAAGAATCACAAATATAATAGATGAATAATTTTGAATTCCAGAGTAGTAATTTGTAATAATATATTATAAGAAGAATACTACACTTTAGTGGTATAATTATAGTCTATACAGACTATAATTATACCACTTAGTTCAGACTATAACCATCCCAGGTATGTGTCGTGA